GGGGTTAAGAATGGGTAAGAGAGTTACATCAATGTATAATTCGGCTAAAGAGCCCCCTGGTGGTTGAAGAAAAATCCACGTATAAGCCGCATGGTCCAAAGCTCAGGAAAAAAGAAGCGGCGTATAGTTCGGAAAATACGGTAAATATTTCTTACTGAGCACAATTTATTAAAAAAAAGTAACTAAGAGGAAATAATCACAGATAAAAGGAGCAAAGGGTTTAAATTAGGACTTATTACCATGTTAAAATGGACCCATCAATTGAGACATTCATCCAGTCTGACTGAACTTGAGGTATTTTGCAAAAATAAATGGTCTAAACTTCTGTCTCTAGTTGAGTAAAGTATATGGAAACCTAAAAGACTTCCTGCTGCAACCACAGTAAAAAGTGGTTGAAGAACTCAGAGGGCTGAAGACAAAGCTGAAATTATTAGATTTGTTGCAGTGAATACTTTCCAAAATATATGCATAATTAAGATTACATCCTACTTCTGCCCCATACACTGCAAAAACACAAAATCTTACCAAGTATTTTTGGTCTAATTTTTACTGCAAATATCTTAATACATTTGAAATTAGACAAAACTCACTTACAAGTAACTTTTCAACAAGAATCAATAATTCATTAATATTGATGCAAAAGTTGGATTATTGACCTGTCCAGAGTGTGCCCCGCCTCTCGCCCATTGACAGCTAAAGATAGGCAGCTGCAATGATTGCAAAAGATGATTTTGCAACCATCTTTACAAGATTCAGGTCTGACCCCAATGGGATAAGGGTGTAAGAAAATGGATGGATGATGCAAAAGTACCAGTTCCACTGGCAGACTATTTCAACTATAACATGGGAAAAATATGTTGTTTAAAACAAATGGTGTTTTTGCATTCTAGTCGAGTCCTATTTTTGTGAGTTGTCATATAATCAAAGTAGAATAGGATGGGGATTGAAGATTAATGAAATGGGACAAATTGTGGCAGACAGTATGTAGAGCAAGGTCTTCATCCTTGGTCCGCAAGCTTTACATGTTCCCCATTCTGGCCCAACTGATTAAAATAATTACACTACCTCTTTAGCATGCCAAACAAACAAGATGAGAATATTGAGGAAGTCTAAGAAAAGCAGAAATGTTCCATTTTATTTGTTCCATTTTATTTTTTACTTATGTGTTGTGGAGAGACTTGAAGGACTGATGTACGACTGGACAAATGGCTAAATGATAAAATTTTCCCACATAGATTATATGAACTCTCTGGTTTATGATAAGGATCATAAAACATAAAAAAAATTAAAATCAGTACAAAAATACAGTGGATATAAATATTTGTGGATCAGTATTCGCAGATTTTTTTGTTTAGCATATCTAAAATATATGAAAGAAAATTCAGCTTGATAAGCAGAGATACCGAGGTATGATGATACTTGGCATGCTAATGGCTAGCTTGCAATCTAGAAAGACTGTAGAAAGCCTGAGGAAAGCCTCCACTGTCCATTAGGGCTGTATAAGTAAATCGATTCGGCGATATATATTGATATTTTCCGCCCTCGGAAAGTATCGATCCGTTAAACCACAGGGGTCCATAGCCTTATAGCTCTTTTTAACGTCTAGTTTGTTAAGGTGTAGCAGCAAGACTCCGCCTCCCTCAGTCTCACTTTCAACTTGAGCTTAAAGTGCACATTATAAACTACACACCAGTTTTTAAATTGTGTTAATAGGCCAAGTATAACCGGAGTTATGCTAAAATTAGTAAACCATATTTTTCCGAATGTCAGAGAAATGGCAAAAGCGCCGCCATTCCCCGGCTTTTCCGATTATGTGAGAGGGAATGAGCTTCCAAACGTACAAAACGAAACGAAACATTAGATTCCTGTGTTTTTGGAAATGTAAAATCTTCAATAAATAACGATGGGCTTTATTTTTTTGCTGAGAAATGAAGCAAAGTTGCACAAGTAACCGTGAAAGAGAAGCGGAACGGAGAAGCGGAAAGGAGTAGCGGCGCGAACGGAGCAGCTGCAAAAGCAGTGAAATCGCGAAATTAATGCAAATTTCGACTGGTAGCATTCACTTCGTAATTAGTTTTTAGCTNAGGATGGCGTAACAAGAGGAAAGACAGTCTGTAGCATCAACAAACCAATATTCAAAAGCAACTCTATGGTTAGTTTGTGCTGCTGCTTTATTCATTATTTAACCAGAAGAGGAAGTCTTCTGATCCCTCTCTTTCATTTCCTTTTTAGGTAATCTTCATCGTCTCCTATGGTCACAACACCAACAGTGATCTTGGTAGAAAGATCGAAGTGACTGCGAACGCCTCCAGGTACAACACAAGAGTTTAAGGTGCAGCTCTGTGATGCTGATGTTTTATCTAATTTTTTAACACATCTTTCCCATCCAGTGACAATGAGCGTCACTCCCCTTCTAGTGAAGTCTACAAAAACAAAGACATTGATGTCAAGTACAGTGTTTTTATTACAATTGAAAGGTCTGTTAAATCAAGCAAATTATTATTTTTTTGATGGTTAAAAGATGTCTGATTAAACAATTTCATGAAATGTATGCTCAGCTCCCTCAGCTACAACAATTTCACATTTGGAGAAAATGCTGTTCAGAAACCACTTGAGCAAAAAATAAAGGTAAAAGAAAATTTTATTGGGATCAGCAATATATTCTACATTCTGGTTAGTCATCATATAATTTGTGTTCTTTGTGTTTTATTCCCACTTATCTAAGGTTGCTAACACCATGAGACCACTAAGTTTTACTGTAGTGATCAAAGTTCCTGTAAAACTCGGTGATAAAGACATCTGGATGGACACAAACAGCTTTCAGGTGAAAAATGCTACAAACTAGAACTAATTAAATATAAATAAGTCTTGAACTGATGTGATGGAGCTCTGTTTTCAGATTCCAGGCTGTCAGAGCAGCGGATATGAAGAACCTATTGTCACTGATTTTGTTAATACAATAAAAGAAAAGAAAATATTGGTATGTATGTCTTGCCTTTCACAAGTTTACACATTTCATATATTTTTTTAAATTAAAAATGTGACTTTTATAAGTAATTTCACAATAGCTTCCACACAATGTGCCATGAATCCTGTGCATTTCAACTTGAAATTTATGAGGCTGTATTGTGTTCACTTCATAGTACTAATTAATACTTTGTTAAACTGCTTTTTTTGATTTAGATTTTGCATTTAGTCTTCTGAAATTAATCAGCATTATGCAACTTTACCTTTGCTACAGGACTGCACTGTAGCGAGGTGCAGAGTGTTCAGGTGCTCCAAGTTCATGGAAAGGAACAAGGACACAACGTACACCATCTCTGCAAACATCAGCTCAGGATGGATAGAACAGGTAATTGATGCCTCAATGTAGATGCACTGACTAGATTTTAAAATGTAAAAAATAAATAAATTAAAAAAGGACAAAAAAGCTCATCATCCCTGATGTGTTTCTCTGTCTCAGATCGGACTTTCATCTGCCAAGTTCCTCCTGACCAGTACAGCCAGTCTAGAGTACGATGAGAACCAGTACATCTTCTTCTCTACAACCTCTAATAGTGGCCCTCCTGTTCACCAGGTGATAGAATGCTGCTGTCAATGTCTTAGTACCAATCAGACCTTTAATGGTTTTATTTGAAACTTCTAAACCTCTCATTTTCAGATTGAAGCAGAGGTAGAAGTGTTTCCTAAACCAGATTTCACTAAAGCGATTATAGGAGGAATTGTGGGAGGGTTGCTCATTCTGGTTTTACTTACTGCTGGTCTGTATAAGGTGAGTCAACCGAGGTCTTCTTAACATCCCTAAGCTCCCCAGTTGAAAGTAATTGACAAAACATGACCAGTAATTTCTAACAAGCAGATTTTTTTTAATGGGGACACATTATGCAAAATTAACTTTTGCACATTTTTATACTTCCATTGGTAAAATGGACCGAACTTTTCCAATCATTTTGACCAAATCAACATACTTTACACTAGAGTCACATTTACCCTTAAGCATTCACACATTTAGACACCAATATGCAGATTGGTAGGCAATTTGGGGTTAAGTGCCTTGCCTAGAGGAAGCTGGAATCGAACAGAGCCACAGTCTCCCTTTGAATCATTGGCATCTCAACTGCTTCTAAGCACTTAAAAAGTCCAAGCACTTGGGGGGGAGATACCCAGCCCAGTTACCTAGCAACCCAAGTGGATCTCCAGCATGTCTGATTAGCTGGTTTTATTGCAGTACAATTGCAGCTGGAAAAGACAAGTTTTGTGTGATGGACCAATTAACCAGCATTTAAAAATCACTTGCTACATTCTTGTTGGTTGTGCAGGAGGCTCTTCTGCTTTTCAAAGATGTACAGTTGTATAATTGCACATCAGTTTGCAGCCATCTTCATGTACGAGTGTAAATGTGCTGTTGGGGGGCATGGCTAGCAGCAGCTTATTTGGATTTAAAGTTATAGGAGGACCTAAATCAGTTCATTCTGAAAGGAGCTCTAAATAGAACCAACCAGACTGAAGTCTCATTATCTAATGAGGGTTCACACCAAACGTGCTGTACATGTCAACAACGTGTCTGATGTACACTTTGAAGTCAGAAGCTTAACATTTTGCTGTAGACACACGTCAAAATCGCTGTAGTGCGCACTGGGACAAGCTGTTGCTTTCAATTGCCGATTGATTGGTTGGCGCTCTCCCGTCTAGTGGCAAAATTTCAGATTTTCCAACTCCATCATTGGTCGCGTTAGACTCGCTTGACGCTCGAAACAAAACATATAACATAGACTCTGAATGTAAACAAGACGCCCCTGACGCTCAGTTCGTTTGAATGCAGCATATTATTATTTTGTGCACCATGTTTTGCATAGCTCATAGAACTATCCTAACTTGTTCAAGGAAGCATAATATGTAACCTTCAAATGTTTATCTTATGTCTTCCAGCATTTATCTTGCCACATATAATTTTCATTCCACTCTCTTTACTGTTTTTCTTCTCAGGCTGGATTTTTCAAAAGCAAATACAATGAGATGATTAATGAAAATGCAGGATCCGAAGGAAACACATTAGCAGAGGACTGAAATTCCCTCTTACTTGTAATGTCCATCCAGTACATTAGTAATACTAGTTTCAACAACAAACAGTAGTAAAATTTTTGCTGTTGTACACAGTAAAGGTATGTATACTGGTAAAAATGTAGTATTTCTTAATTTTAAGGAAGTGTTAAGAATACATGATCTCTTTTAAAATGGCAACTGAAGACACAAAAGAGAGCTTGGCTGTACTGCTCACAGTTACTGGGGATTTAAAGGGTTTAATAATGTCGATATGTAAAGGATCTGAAACACAAAATGTACTATCCACAAATGCAATGTAATGTTTCAGAAGCTTTACCAATAGTGTCTTAAAAATGACTGTTATGAGTTTGCTTTGCACTTTGAATAAAACCGTTTATATTTAAATGTTTTATCTTTACCAGGTGATTTCATGGTGGACAAAAGAAACTTAACGGTCAGGGATTTTCAAATAGAATAACAACATGCTTTAAGCTACTTGAAGGCTAAAACAGTGTCTGTGCTTGACAAAAGTATGTAAATAGCTTTATGTATAAATAAATAACATATGCAAGATAAACATGTTTCTTGTGCTGTGTTATTGACAAAAAACAGATATTTTATTTAAGAAAATTAAAGAACAGATATTCTTTTCTTGTTCATCTTTTGTTGTATTAATGTGTAATATTATGCATGGAAACAAATAGCCAGACATATTTAAATCTTTAAAGGCTGATGAGAAACATTTATAAATATAACTGCTTGATGGATAAAAATCCAACAAAAATAAATATCACCCTGATATTGTAGAACTCTAAACTATTGTAGCCCTGGGGTTTGAGAACCACAAGAAGTGGGGGTTTATGTCTTTTGATAGGTAACTGGGGTTAAGAATGGGTAAGGGAGTTACATAAATGTATATTTCGGTGATTTACCTATTGTAGAGTACGGAGAGGGATGAATTCCTATGTCTGAGAGTAACTGAGATTTACGAGGGGGAGTGAAGTGTACGGAGGGAAAGAAAGGGGAGAGAGAGAGGATTCTGGGAGAAGAGAGAACGAGAGCGGAAGGAGAGAGGGGAGAAAAAAGAAAGAGGGATTGGAACAGTACGGGAAACAAAAAATTCGTGTTAAACATAGTTGGTGAGTTAGAAATAAGATTTTACGCGGAGGATAGTTCACAAATGAAGTTGAAAGCATTATGAATTTGTTCAGATGATAGAAATGTAAATTTGTTTTATTCAAAATAAAACATACCTCTTGAAACTTGTCTGAATTTATTGTCATAACGAAACTTACCGTATTTTCCGGACTATAAGCCGCACCCCCAAAATGTTTTTAAAAAAACTCAGTACACCCAAAATTTTAGTTAAATAAGTGAATTGAACATCACATTTATTACTTGACAAAGAAAAAATTGGCAAGTTAATGCTGTTTAACTGATCAACAACATATGCGGTCATAAAAATCTATCCTTGCGCGGACATGTCCAGGATGTCCACTTTGAGTCCACGGCTGTGCGGTAGCGTACCGGTTTGTGTGTGTTACCCAGAAGGCAGTTGGGCACAACACTGTGAGTAAAACAATGACTGGGGCAGACTACTATATAAAGTACTGGTGCGTAATTTGGACATTTGTATAATATGGGACGAGTCTGTATTCTATGGGACAGGTGACAACCACCTCTGGCTAAAGAGCCCCCTGGTGGTTGAAGAAAAATCCACGTATAAACCGCATGGTCCAAAGCTCAGGAAAAAAGAAGCGGCTTATAGTCCAGAAAATATGGTAAATATTTCTTACTGAGCACAATTTATTAAAAAAAGTAACTAAGAGGAAATAATCACAGATAAAAGGAGCAAAGGGTTTAAATGAGGACTTATTACTATGTTAAAATGGACCCATCAATTGAGACATTCATCCAGTCTGACTGAACTTGAGGTATTTTGCAAAAATAAATGGTCAAAACTTCTGTCTCTAGTTGAGTAAAGTATAGGCCCAACTGATTAAAATAATTACACTACCTCTTTAGCATGCCAAACAAACAAGATGAGAATATTGAGGAAGTCTAAGAAAAGCAGAAATGTTCCATTTTATTTTTTACTTATGTGTTGTGGAGAGTCTTGAAGGACTGATGTACGACTGGACAAATGGCTAAATGATAAGATTTTCCCACATAGATTATATGAACTCTCTGGTTTATGATAAGGATCATAAAACATAAAAAAAATTAAAATCAGTACAAAAATACAGTGGATATAAATATTTGTGGATCAGTATTCGCAGATTTTTTTGTTTAGCATATCTAAAATATATGAAAGAAAATTCAGCTTGATAAGCAGAGATACCGAGGTATGATGATACTTGGCATGCTAATGGCTAGCTTGCAATCTAGAAAGACTGTAGAAAGCCTGAGGAAAGCCTCCACTGTCCATTAGGGCTGTATAAGTAAATCGATTCGGCGATATATATTAATATTTTCCGCCCTCGGAAAGTATCGATCCGTTAAACCATAGGGGTCCATAGCCTTATAGCTCTTTTTAACGTCTAGTTTGTTATGGCGTAGCAGCAAGACTCCGCCTCCCTCAGTCTCACTTTGAACTTGAGCTTAAAGTGGACATTATAAACTACACACCAGTTTTTAAATTGTGTTAAGAGGCCAAGTAAAACCGGAGTTATGCTAAAATTAGTAAACCATATTTTTCCGAATGTCAGAGAAATGTCAAAAGCGCCGCCATTCCCCGGCTTTTCCGATTATGTGAGAGGGAATGAGCTTCCAAACGTACAAAACGAAACGAAACATTAGATTCCTGTGTTTTTGGAAATGTAAAATCTTCAATAAATAACGATGGGCTTTATTTTTTTGCTGAGAAATGAAGCAAAGTTGCGCAAGTAACCGTGAAAGAGAAGCGGAACGGAGAAGCGGAAAGGAGTAGCGGCGCGAACGGAGCAGCTGCAAAAGCAGTGAGATCGCGAAATTAATGCAAATTTCGACTGGTAGCATTCACTTCGTAATTAGTTTTTAGCTTAGCGGTTTCTGTTCTGTATATAAAGGATTACCTGAAGAATGAACATGGGTTGATAACATCCGAAGCGGGCGCGCAGCGGCGCTGTGTTTTGAGCAGGAAGAGGAGAAACCCCCAGCCGGAATCCGCGGCGCAGTGAGGATTTCCATGATAACAATGGCTGATCGATCATTCTTATTAGCAACAGACAAAAAGTATCAGAGACTGAGAGTACTATGAGATGCTGGCAGTCTGAGAGGCAGCTACTCAGAGATCCAAGCAGGGGAATAGCGGCGCTGCGTAGCTGCAGGGAGTCGATCACTACGGGGTGAGGCGGAGCCACTAGCAGTTAGACGAAAGCAGCTTACAGCCACGGCTAACTCTGGAAGCCAAGGTAGAAAAGCCTTTTTCCCCATAGTCCAAAAGACTGCATTTGTGGCTGAATTTTTACTCCAAATTGCAGCCACAGTGTCCAAAAGAAAAAACATAAGTGCAATCGTTTGCATATTGAGAATCTACAGAGGCTGATAATCTCCCCACTCTGCTCCTGGATTAGTTTAAATTTTTGAGTTTTATGTCAAATCCACATGAATTAAATGACAGAAACTAATTCTCTCACTGCGTTTTTGACTCATTTTGTCCAGCTGCAGACTGTTAGACTGTCCAATCAGAGTCAGGTATTGTGTTGGTGCTTTTAATCAGTTTTCAGTTAACTAAATTCAAGTCTATGGAGCACAAAATGTCACTGAAATCACTCTGTCCTTCTAAAATCTTTCAGAAAATTGTAAAAATGCACTGAATCGTAGCGAATTGTATCGCTCAACAAATATCGTGATACATATCGTATCTTGTCGTATATTGTCTCGTGAAATTATTGTATCGCTACACCCCTACTGTCCATATTAATGCATATTGAGGTATATTAAGTGTGTGTGGTAGTGTAAGGAAAACTGTTTTAAGAGACTCTCCCCCAAATATGGCTGTTGATTCATTTTTGCTCAGAGCTGCCAGATTAAAACAGTTTTAATCTATTTCATTTTTGCTGACTTTAAAGTGTAACCAAACCGCAACTAAAGAGAGGATTTCGAAATGGTAAGAAGACTGCTTTGTTCTGTCACATCAACACATGCACTGGATTGTTTTATTAAGGATATCAGAGTAAAAAGGCTAAATACAAATTCATGTCATGCTTTTTACATTTTACTTGTACTACCATTTTTTGTAATTTTACAACAATGTATCTATTTTTGTTTGGTTTATAACATAGTAAAACACCGGGGAAACTTTCAAGGTGGTATGAGTGTTTTGTTTTGTTGCCAGGGATTGAATGAAAATAGAAAGTGCAAAAAAAAAATGTGTTCAGTCAAATGGATGGAAATTATTTTATGTTGTCCTGTAGTGCATTGTTAATGTTTACTTCTGCTTATTTTGTGCAAACTTAGCTTAGTAATCTTTTCTTTTTATGATACACTTAAAAAGAGGATGTTTTTTCGTAAAGGTTTCTGTATGGACCCCCATATCCCCCACCATACACACACTCTTGCACAAAACCACATACATCAGAAAGCTCCATGCAAACAACAATGTGTTGATTACTATCTGTATATTTTATGAATAAAACAGACTAAAGCACCAGCTATTTGATGTAAAAGTTATCAGAGGCTATTAGTGAAATCAATAAGAGATACAGTGCAAAAAACACAAAATATTTCCAAGTATTTTTGGTCTAGTTCTAGCGCAAATTTCTTAGTACACTTGAAAAAAACAAAAGAACTGTCCAGCCAATTAAAGGAGCTTATTTTAAGTAGATAATTTCTTAAAACCAATAAAAGAGTACTAGTTCTACTGGTACATTATTTAACATATAATGAGACATTTTTCCATGATACAAGTGAAAAAATCTGCCTGGTGGAACTGGTGCGTTTGATCACCATTAAGGAATTATTTACTTATAACACGTTTCTGTACACTGCATCAAAAGTTTTGTGTTTTTGCACAAGGTAAACTAAGCAGCATCAGTAATTCATCAAAAGCACAGTAGAAAGATTGCACTTACTTCAGGAAGAGAACAGATACTGATCTATCCGGGCAGGCAACAACAAACACCAATTCTGTTACCTCCACCCATTGGTTTACCCTGAACTAATTAAAGCTGCTAGATTTCACATTACAATTTTAA